CAGACAAAAGGGGCCTCCATCGATCCCTCCACCCGATTCTCACCTTTGTCGCTTCTGAAAAGCATCTTCTCATACTGTGGGTGCTCACAGGAGACGGGCTTTTTAATATCGGTGTTGGTGAAAACTTTCATTCTCAGGAGCTGTGGGAAACCAGGAGAACAAAATCACAAGGGGTGGAAAAGGAATTAGCGACCGAAGAAGAGTCCCGCTTGGGTGGGTCCGTGGCAGAGCCCCTGCTTGGCATGCAGAGCGTCCCGGGTTCCACTCATTGGAGTGGCATCTCCCCTGGAAAGGACCAGGCAGCAGGAGGTGGTGGGAAAGCCTGGCACACCCTGAAGAACAGCTGCCGGCCAGAGGAGACACGGCTGCCCAGTGGTCTGACTCAGTACGCAGCAGCGCCGTGTGACCACAGTACGCCGGCCTTCGTGACCAGAGAAGCCATCGCAAGACACCTCGTTCTCCTGCCATCGTGCCAGCAGGCCCAGGGAACTGCACGGGACGTCCCACACATTGTGCTGTGAGCTTCCCTGGCAGGCGGGCCTCGTATCTGAAGCAGCAGGTTTAGATTACATGGAGAAAGGTATCGGCTGGATATTAGGAAACACTTTTTCACAGCCAGAGTGGTTCAAAGGTGGAATCCGCTGCCCAGGGAGGTGGTTGGCTCCCCTTCACTGGCAGCTTTCAGGAAGAGGCAGGATGAATATTTGTCAGAGGTGCTTTACGCTGGTTTTGCATTGGGCAAGGGGGTTGGACTAGATGGTCTGTGTGGCCCCTTCCAACTCCATGACTCTGTGATTCTATGATTCTATCCCTCCGTCTGCTGGGCGAACTGCAATGCGGCTTCAGCACTTTCCACAGCAGCCCTCCAGACAGGTCAAGGCACCCCTGAGGTGGGGCTTCCCTGGTCTCTCTCCCAGCGGGGATCACCGGCCAGGGAAGACCGAGGCCACTGCAGTTCTAAAACCACGCTGGAAACCAAACTGAAAGGGGTTTAGATCAGGGGTCCACAACATGGTGCCCGTGGGGATCGGGAGATCTGATTGGTTGTGCAGACTTCCTACAGCCTGGCTTTGGCAGCGGCTGCCACTACAACACAAGAATCTTCACTGTGTGACGGAAGATAAGCTGTGGCAGCCATTTTGTAGATGGCTCCGCCTCCAGCAGCAGACATTTTGTGACACCAGTTCTGTGGCTGTGCCCACCACGCCGTGTCAGAATTCCAAGGGGTGCCCACAGGCTCAAAAAGGCTAGGGACCCCTGGTCTAGATAATCCGTCTCATTACACACACACACACACACACACACACACACACAACTGACGGAGCACAGCGACCTGTGTGGTAGGCTCAGAGCGCTCTGCTCCCAGCGTCACTCCATCCATGCCACATCATGGCAGAGCTAAACGTAACTGGATGATTGTGTGGGAGGAGCCCCACAGAGGCCGTTTCCAGTGCCAGAAGAGCATTCTGGGTAACGTCTCCTTAGCTTCTGTGTTTCCACACCACTGGTCTAGGATAACAGGAGGGCGTGTACTCGTGTCATTCTGACTGCTACATCTCGGGGTTCTTGCTCTAGACAGGGCAGAGGGGACAAGGCAGTTAAAATGGAAAGGACAAAGGCCCAACACCCTTTGGCAAAAGGACCTGAAGGAGACGGAGGCACTCTGGCCTAGGAGAAAGGCACACCAGGGTCCGGAGATCTTTCCTGCCTTGGTTACCCAGCTTCGCCGCTTGGGAGTGCTACTTGACATAGCAGTCCCCTTGGAAAAGCTGGTGGCTGTGGTGGCCTGGAGAGCTTTTGCCCAGCTTCGGCTGGTGCATCAACTGCGTCTGATCCTGGGTCAGTCAGATCTAGCCACAGTGATCCCTGGCTTAGTTACATCTAGACTGGACTACTGCAACACACTCTTCAAGGGCTGCCCTTGGAGATGTCCGGAAGATGCAACTAATGCAGAACGCTACGGCTAGACTGGAGGCCAGGGCCAGCTATTGGGAGCTCGTGACCCCAAATACTACAGCTATTACACGGGCTACCGATCCGCTCCTGAGCCCAATTCATGGTGCTGGTCTTGTCCTTTAAGTAGAATCGACATGTGCAGGAACAGGATTGCCAAGTCCTACTTGGTTGCCAGTGGGGAGATTTGGGGGGCATTCCAGGAAGGGGCCGGGCAGTCGCATGGCAACGCTCTGGTCTGAGGGCAGAACTCTATGGTTTGAAGGCAAATTGACCTTAGTTGCCCTGGAACCAGAGCATCCCCCGCGACGTCGCCAACGTAATGACATCACTTCCAGGTGGCATCATCATGTTGGGGACGTCACGCAGGGACGTGGATATTTGGGGAGCTGGACTACCCCTGCCAGCCAGCTGGCTGGTGGAGGGCAGAAGCCCCCCAAACCAGGGGAGCCCCCTGCCTGAACCTGGAGACCCTACGCAGGAAGGAGAAACGGCTTCTTAAGGCCACATCTAGTTATCAGGATGCAGCAAAGACTAGGTGCTTTCCTGGGAGCGCGCCACATCAATCAGTGAAGGGAAGAGAGGAAACAGCCTTGCCTGGCTCACTAGGCAGGCACCAGAGAGAAGGGAGAGGCTTGTACTGAAGGCCGATAGTGAAGCACAGCTTGGACTTTCCAAATGGTCGGCCACCTTTAAGGAGACGCCACTCACCTTGAACAGACTGTAAACGTCTGCCTCGCTTTGATACCAGGGAGCCACCCGCAGGGACCGCTTGCTCCTTGGACTAGGGCCCGGGCGAAGGAGACATGGGTACGGCTCGAAGTCTTCCAAGTGGTAACTGAACCCTCTTCCAGAGACTGTTGTATCTTCTTCGCCATAGGAGAGATGGGATTCGTACAGCTGGAAAGAGAGACTGCTGAAATGGGACGCAGATAGAAAGCTCAGATTTCATGTCCCTGGCACACCCTGCGTGGATGGAGCTCTGAGACTTCTCCCACCTTGTGTATACATGTACCAGCCTCTCTGGTGCTGGGGCTCAGTGCTAGAGCCTCTGCTTGGCATGCAGAAGGTCCCAGGTTCAATCCCTGGCGTCTCCAGTTGAAAGGGCCAGGCAGGAGGTGATGTGAAAGACCTTGACCTGGGACTCTGGCTCAGTGGCAGAGCCTCTGCTTGGCATGCAGAAGGTCCCAGGTTCAATCCCCGGCATCTCCAGCTGAAAGGGCCAGGCAGGAGGTGATGAGAAAGACCTTGACCTGGGACTCTGGTTCAGTGGCAGAGCCTCTGTTCGGCATGCAGAAGGTCCCAGGTTCAATCCCCGGCATCTCCAGCTGAAAGGGCCAGGCAGGAGGAGATGAGAAAGACCTTGGCACGAGATGCTGGGGAATTGCTGACAGTCTGAGTAGACAATCCTGACCTTGATGGACCCAGGGTCTGATTCAGTATGAGGGAGCTTCAAATTTTTACACAGTCCCCCCCCCCCAGTAATAAGAAAGCAAGTATAAGTCTGGTTAATGCATGGGATCGATGGCACGGGGGAAGTCTAGGCTACTCTGATATTATGATTTATCATCATACAACCCAGCTAGTTAATCAAATGGATGTCACTGAAAGAGGACCCTTCTTGAACCCAAAGACTGACAACTTTACTTCATTTTTCTGACAAAGGGGACTTTGACTCTCAAAAGCTTATACTCCAAAAATCTTGTTGGTCTCTAAGCTGTCTCTAAGGTGCTACTGGACTCAAATCTAACTTTTCCAGTGAATCTCTATGACAGAATGTAATTGAAATGACAAACCCAACAGTAAAGGTAAAGGTAGAGGTTTCCCTTGCTCGAAAGCCAGTCGAATCCGACTCTAGGGGGCGGTGCTCACCTCCGTTTCTAAGCCAAAGAGCCAGCACTGTCCGAAGACGTTTCCATGGTCATGTGGCCGGCATGACTAGACGCCGAGGCACACAGAATGTTGTTACCTTTCCACCAAAGCGGGACCTCTTTAACTGCTTGCAGTTTCTTGCTTTTGAACTGCTAGGTTGGCAGGAGTTGGGTCCAGAGATGGGAGCTCACTCCATCATGCGGCACTCGGGTCTCAAGCTGCTGAGCTATAGATCTTCTGGTCTGCAGCTCAGCATCTTAACCTCTGAGCCACCGCAGCCCCTTAAACCAACGGCACCTGTCGCTAAACAGACTTTCTAAAATGTATAATATTAGGGAAAACTGTTGGTTTTGTGGGAATTATACCCTTTTCATACGTGGCGGGAGTGCTCACAAGCTGTAAGATACCAGAAAACAATAGTAGCAAGCAAGCATTTCAGCTGATACAGGCTGTACGACACTCGCATCCCAGAGCTGTAGTTCTTGTCTGTTTTCCATCTTCTCTACAATGACTAGTTCTATGTGCAATAACAACTGCTTGTATTAACTTTGCCAGACACTGGAAGAAAAGTTCTCTACCATTTAAAAAAGGGTGGTCAGAACAAATACATTTTATGTCTTGTGTGATCAAATTGATGGCTTATTTTAAAAGAAAGCCTTTTTTAAAATATCAGTATTTGGAGACAGATCATAAACCAGAGGGACAACTGGTAATTGAGCTAAATGTTTATATTCTACTCGTCTCACTGAATTGTGAGTTAAAATGTTGTATTTACAGTGTGCTTATCACATTGAATTCTTCGTCACACATGTATTTCATGTGTAATTATTAAAAAAGCTTAAATAAAAGAGGAAAGCCTTGGGAACCCCACAAGTCATGCTCAGAAGAAGAACAATGTTGTCTGGAGGCTCCTAAAAAGGGGGGAGAGGGCAAGCCATGTTCCACCCAGGGAAAAATCCACATGGTACCCTCTTCAGTGCATTTTCCATTTCTGCAAGTGTCCCTTTTTGAGATATGGTGACAAGAACTGCATGGAGTATTCCAAATAGGACCATACCATAGATCCATATAGGGGCACTACAGTATTGGCTGTTTCATAGGATCATAATTTCATCAAATGTTACTTTGACTTTTTCAACCGCTGCCACACATTGGGTTGACATTTACAGTGAACTTTCCACTGCAAACTCAAGACCTCTTTTCCTCTCAGTTCCGACCCGATTGGACCCCACCAGCACAACTTTGAATTTAGGGTTCTCCACCGCCGTGTGCCTTGCCTCCCATTTGCCCACACTGAATTTATTTTGCCATTTTGTTGCCTGCTCAGCCCGTTTAGAGGAACCCCCCGGTAGCTTTCGCTGTCTGCCATTGTTTTCTCCATCCTGAATTATTTGGTATTATCTGCCAACTGCTCACCCTCAATTCCAAATCATCTGCAAACAGATTAAATAGCACTGGTCCTAATGACTACCCTGGAGGGAGCCCCTGGCTCATTTCTCTCCGTTACAAGGACTCTGCTCATTTGTTCCTGTCCTCTGCCTCCTGTCATTTAACCATGATCACTAAGATAGCTAAGATTACTCAGGATTCTGTGGTGAAACACTTTGTCACAAGTCTTTTGGAAGTCCAGGTATATAATTTGTCATTTCTGAGTACTGCTGTTGCTAATGAGAAAAGGGCAGATGCCTTGGAATCCACCGAGCATCAAATAAAATCAGTAACACTTTGTCCGTGGTCAACAGACAGCGGCAGGAACTCATTCAGACACAATCGGAAGAATGGGCTTTCTCACCTCTTGTAGGTCCAGCATTGTATTTATCTCTGCCTTCCATATGACACTCTTGTCCAGAGCTCGGACAGAACACAGTGCCCCAGGGGCAGCTTCTACTCGTAGGCTGACCTCAGATCCTGGAAGATCCTCCTCCTTAGAGAAGCCCACCGATACCTGTAAATGCAGAAAGATGAGATGATGACGATCAGATGGGAAACTTGGGCCCATTATCCACTGGCAGCTTACTCCGGAGAATCTAAGCAGTCAATCCTTTAATCTTGATTTTGGAATTTGTGTGGCCACCCTCTGCACCATTCTTCCCCCCCCCCCCAGGTTTATTTGTTCTGTATTCTGTGTATGCATCCTGCAGCTACAACCAAAACCCGCAGTTTTTGCTCAATTGGGGTGGGAATATCACTTGTGACGATGAAGGGATTGGCGTCCAATCATAGAATCATAGAATGTTAAGAGTTGGCAGGGACCTTGCAGGTCATCTAGTCCAACCCCCTGCACTCTGCAGGAGCATAGCTGAAAGATAGCCCTACAACATACCCGAAAGATGGTCGTCCAGCCTCCGCTTGAAAACGCCCAGCGAAGGAGCATCTACCACCTCACGAGGCAGTCTGTTCCACTGCTCAACCACTCTTACAGTTAAGAAGTTTCTCCTGATATTTAGCCGGTATCGACTCCCTTGTAATTTCCACCCATTAGATCTAGTCTTGCAATCCGGAGCAAGAGAGAATAGATCTGCTCCATCTTCTACATGACAGCCCTTCAAATACTTGAAGACTGCAATCATGTCCCCTCTAAGACTTCTCTTTCCCAGGCTAAACATACCCAACTCTTTCAGCCTTTCCTTGTAAGACTTGGATTCCAACCCTCTCACCATCCTGGTTGCCCTCTTCTGGACACGCTCGAGCTTGTCAACATCCTTCCTAAAATGTGTTGCCCAAAACTGGACACAGTACTCCAGGTGGGGCCTGACCATAGCAGAATAGAGCAGAACTACCACCTCCCTTGATCTGGACATAATTCTTCTCTTAATGCATCCTAAGATTGCATTAGCTTTCTTCACAGCCACATCACACTGCAGGCTCATGTTTAGCTTGTGATCAACCAGAACACCCAGATCCCTTTCACATGTGCTGCTGTCAAGCCAAGTCCCTCCCATTCTATATCTATGCCTTTTATTTTTTTGTACCTAAGTGTAGGACTTCGCACTTCTCTCTATTGAAATTCATTTTATTTGTCTCCGCCCACTGTTCCAGCCTATCTAGATCATTTTGAATCCTGACTCTGTCTTCTTCAGAATTAGCAATCCCACCCAGCTTCGTGTCATCTGCAAATCTGATAAGCATCCCCTCTATGTCTTCCTCCAGGTCACTTATAAAAACATTGAACATTGAATGTTTGTTGTTGTTGTTTTAAGTGCCCTATTGCAGCTGCATAGCAAACGAAGCCCCTTCCATTTAAATCCTCATGGTTCAGTTCCTTGAATGAAACGGAGCACAGAGGAACGCTGCCAAAGTTTTAAAGAGCTTCCAGCAATCCACCAAACTACATTTTGGATTCTCTGCTGTGTTATCGATAGGCCACTGTGAAAAGCAGTGCCCGTGCCTTGGCCAGGCTCTCACCCGCCGCGCCTGGCTGTGCCTCCAAGTGGTGTGTGTCGTTGGCTGGCAGCGAGGCCAGGAAGAGGCCCAGTTGGCTCAGGTCGCTGGCTTGCAGTAGTACCTCACACACATGCACGTGACCTGCTCCGGGGATAAGCGGGGCGGTGGCCCCGAGGAAGAGGGAGAAGGCGCCCCCTCACCTTCCTCACTTCCTGGTCTCCCCCCCACGCGCGGCAAACCTAGTCTAGTGTAAATCTCATTATAGTACACTTATACCGCTTCTATTGCTTGTGGGGGGGGGAAGCTGCCAGGGGAGACTTTGGGAAGCAAGGCGGGCACCGCAGCGGCCCCTTCTCCCTCTCCCCCTGGGCCTCCCCACTTCTCCTGGTGGGGGCATCAGCGCAGAGTGAAACTGAATGGAAGTAACATGTAAAGAAAGACACACACTGGGATGGGAAGGGAAGCCCAAAGCTTTAAAAACTGTTTTCCCTTTAATGAGAGCAAGTTTGGTGTAGTGGTTAAGAGCATGGACTCTAATCTGGGAGAGCTGGGTTTGATTCCCCACTCCTCCACATGTGGCTGTTCTCTCAAGGGCAGTCCTTGAGAGAGCTCTCTGAGGAAAGGAGTTTGTAAGTTTGTTTCTCTTCTCCTCCCCACAACAGACACCCTGTGAGGTAGGTGAGGCTGAGAGAGCTCTTTTGAGAACTGCCCTTGAGAGAATAGCTCTGAGAGAACTTGTGACTGACCCAAGGTCATCCAGCCAGGTGCAAGTGGAGGAGTGGGGAATCAAACCCGGTTCTCCCAGATTAGAGTCTGCACTCCTAACCACGACGCCAAACTGGCTCACTGCATGCAGCATGAAGAGCCTGTGCAATAAGGATGGCTGGGCTGGTGGAGGGGAGGTGGGTGTGGAGAAGGCAGAGAAAGGTATCCAGATGGTGGGAAGGGACAAAAATGCCCCCCCTTCTAATGGCTGGGATGGGGTTGGGGGAGCTTCCTCTGCACTAGAGCGAGGATGCACCAGCAAAAGCAAAGGCGCGTGCAACATATCCAGGCAACCTTTCCACAAGGGCAAGACACGCCATTGTACACCAGTGAAGGGGGGAGAACCAGTTACATTCTTCAAAGAGGGCTACCCAAGAGTAAATACAGATTGAAGAACCTCCTATTTCAAAAATCACACCCAGGCTGCGATCACACGTGCCTTTAGATCTGACATAGGTGTGAATACCTGACAGATCTAAATGTAGTGGCCAGACAGCAACATCTGGGAAGCACCCCGCAGTTGCTGGCAACCCATGCTGCTCTGCCGCAGAAGTGGAATTAAAAGACACCGGGGAAAGTCCGGTAGTAAGCGGGTTCTGACAGGCCACGGACAGACTTTCCCCTGTCTGATTGCTCAGGCACGCTCTCAAGCCGCCAGGATGGTCTGATTGGGCCATTCTGGCTCAGTGCCGTTTCCCCCCCCCCCCTTGCAGTATGCACATCATCCCATACTCCGTAGGGGGCCCTCAGTACAGAGGTGCAATTCCTCGTTTATGCACATAGGAAACGGCCAAAAAAAACCCCGACTCACCCACAGTTGCGTCTGATCACACAGTGATGGGCTGCTCCTGCACCTACAAAGGGAGGTGTGATCTCGCAACTGCGTGTCAAATTCCTCTAGAGGAGATAACCTCGCTTCCCCTCTGCTTCAACTGGCACATGTGACTGCAGCCCCAGTGTGGAACTGACCGATCAGGAGTGGGAAGAAGGACCTCAATGTGGGGGGATGGAGTGGCCTCCAAGGGGCAGGAAAAGGGGCGGGGGGGGGGGATCCAAGGGAATAGATATGCTTTTGAGTCACCTTCAGTTTGGAAGTGAAGCAAGGGGAAAACCCTCACAAAACCACTCTCAGAAAAATTCAGGCGAACAGCTAATGGAAAGCGAACCGAGCACTGAAGTAGGGTTGCAGAATCCGGCATGCGGGGATGGTGAGACGTGTTGCACCCGCCGTTGCCACGACATGACGCTACGTGTCACTCTGGCAACAGGGCTCCAAACAGTCCCCTTGCCAGAGTGACGCATAGTGTCATGTCCTGATGACGGCGGTGCAATGCATCTCGCCGTCCCCGCGTGCTGGATTCTGCAAAGACATGCGGATCCCCCGCCGCGATTTGGCGAGATTTGGGAGCCCTACACTAAAGGGAGGGAAAACAATGCAGAATGTGGGGGGAAACCCCAACGGACATGCACAGTGAAAGCAATGGGAATGCAGAACGTCAAGGAAAAGCCAACAGACATGTGAGGCAAAGCACCAGTGCATAATAGGCCTTGAGAAGATAATGGACAATACGGGTGGCAGGGTGTGTGTGTGGAACTGAAGGGAAAAGAAGAATGGCAGTGTGACCTTCTTGGAAACAGGAAAAGGAGGAGCCATAGATATGCAGCGGAATGCAAGGTCCAGCCCACTTGGAGCTCCAAGATGATGCACCCACCTTATGCTGGAGACACTTCTCTATGGTGAACACGTCCACATCAGCTGACACCTCACCATCAGCAAACACGGCATACAGGAGAAGCCTGGCAGTGGGCGCCAGAGCCATGCTCGTGGACACAGAGAGGGAGAAGGTGCCCTTCAGTGCTGCAGGGAGAGGGCAGGATGGCCGGGAGGGAAAGACAGAAGTACGTACACCATGAAAAACAAATCTATGCTACCCCAGATCACTTATTTCTTAGTAGCTGGAAACCTAGAAATTGCTCTTCCCTCTCTTTTTCAGTTCTTTTATTCGCTGCTAAAACTGCAATAGCCTCATTCTGGAAAAGTACATTAATCCCAGATTTATCATTATGGCACAAGAAAACTATGGGACCGATACATTGTGGCAAAAATAACAACCTATCTTATCTCGATTCTCAAATTTCTTCATCCAACTTTGTTACAACTTGGTTTCCCCTTATGGAATACTCAGTAAAACGAGATGAAATTCCTCATGTGATTGATGATCTGTGTCTGTGACAACTATACAGTATTTCGGACACTCTTATCTTGATGAAATGGATGAATCAATATGCATTGTTTTAGATTTATATCTAATGTTCATCTCATTAATTTATGCTGTACTTCTGATGTTGTAATCCTCAATTTTGTTTTCTGCATCTGTATTGTGGCTTTGAAAATAGACAATAAAAAGTAAAGTAAGAAAAACACACACACACAAATATCTATGGGCCTTGCTCCTGCCTGATCATGATAAAGCGAAGCCTCAGAACCCAGCCCTTGCAGAGGTGTTCCAAATGCTAAGGGCTGGATTTGACCAACAGTGAGCATAACGAGTCCACGGAGATGGATCTTCCCTACTTAAGCTCCCCAACTGTCCCCAGCCCCAAACATCATGGCAGGGACCCTTCTAATCCAAAAACCACAATGAAGGAAGGAAGAGGGGGGTGAGGGTGGGGGAATCAGGCAGAATCCAGCTGGGAAGATCTGCCTCTGCACACCCCTTATCCTTACAGGTGGCGGGATGCAGCCCCATGTTTTGAAACTAAGTACTTTCGTTCCTGTCAAGGACAAATTGTTCCCCGAATATTTGGAGAGCTTTTAAAACGAATGTCCATCATCAACCCAGTATCACAATGGGGAGTCTAGGTAAATAGGGTTGCTAGCTCTTGATTGGCACACTCCTGGAGATTGGCGGATGGAGCCTGTGAAGGGTGGGATTCGGGAAATGGAGGGACCTCAGGGGGGATAACACTGCCAGGGAGTCCATCCTCCAAAGCAGCCCATTTCCTCCAGGGGAATTGATCTCTGCCGTCTGGGGATCAGTCGTCATTCCAGGAGACCCGCAGGCTCCACCTGGAGGCTGGCAACCCTACGGAGGAAGATGATGCGTGAACAGATGATACGTTTAAGGAAAGGCCAAGTACGGGAAAGGGGCAATAGGAGGAAGCATATATTAGAAATTGTTATGTTGGGTACAGTGTTCAGGAAAGAAAATCAAAATTAAAATATTGAGAATGTTGAGAATATTTTGAGAACGATATTGAGACGCCAATAAAGGACTCAAAACATGAAGCTGCTTACTGGTGGTTCCTTGGCGTTTCCGGAGATGGGTTGACTGGGTAAGTTAGACGTTTGATCAGAAGGGTGACTCCTAGGTGTGACAACCTCCAGGTGGGGCCTGGATATTTCCTGGAATTACATCTGAACGCCCCCCCCCCAGACTACAGAGATCAGTTCTTCTGGAGACAATGGCTGCTTTGGAGGGAGGGTTCTATGACATTGTACCGTGCTGAGTTCCTTCCCCTTCCAAACTTCAGCCACCATAGGCTCAGCCTCCAAAATCTCGAGGAATTTCCCGACCTGGAGCTGACAACTCTATCTACAGTCAACAGGCAGAAGGCCAGTGGGTAAGGCTTTACTGTTTTTATGTTTATTACGATCAGGGCTATTTTTCGGCAGGAACACAGTTCCAGCTGGCTTCAGAGCTGGCCACGCCCACTACAGCAAAAACCGTTGCGCCTGTGGCTACAGAGGGAAGGCCTGGAGAGCGACCCCCCCAGCAACTCCGAGGCGGGCAGGCCAAGGGGCCCCTGAAAGGATCAGGGAGGCATTTAAATGTCTCCTCGTGCCTTCCCCGGTCTGTCCAGAAGCCTTCAAAGCAAAAAGCCAATCCTTGTATTAAATCAGTCTCAATCAGGCATCCGATCACCAATGGAACATTTTCTCATATAGTCGGTGAGCCTTTGAAGGCTTCTGTACATTATGAGTACTTTATAAAGTTTGATTACGTTTTTGAAGAAGAGCCATCGAAATGAAGATTGAAATCTGGAGTCTTCGTCTTTGTACTACTTATTCCCCACCGGAACCCATCTTGGAACTGAGAACATCAGAGCACCAGCACTTTGTTGTACTATTGTTATGTTTTTATCTTGTTTTAATTGTTTTAATTATGGCTTTTGCCTCAATTGTTAGCCGCCCTGAGCCTTAGGGGAGGGCGGGATATAAATTTAATTCTAAATAAATAAATAAATATTCTGTACTACCTATGTACTTGTGCATTGCATGATGTATTTTGCTATCACTGACTACATGTGGTTTCTTGTTACTCCTTGTTAGTACAGTGTTATCTTGTTATATAAACGTTTTTCCTGCTGTTTATATTACTCGGGCACTCTTTGGTCTGTGTTATTTATGCAGTGTTTGTTTCTTGGATGATGGAACACCATGGTTCTCCGACTTACTTTCATCCTGGCCAACTGGCACCTTTTTCTGCCCACTGGAAAAAATCCTTCCCTTTGAGACAACCTGCAGGAAGAGGATATATTAGGCACGGAGCAGACAGACGGTTCCTTGGCACGTCAAACCCAGTTCTCCCAGATTAGAGTCCGCACACTTAACCACTACACCAAACTGGCTAAACAATAGCACACAAGGTAAACACATTAACCCTATAATGACTGAATTTAGACCTTGCAACACACACATTTCCAACACCTGGGACCCAAGAGTGTCCTGGCAAGTCTATATCCAGAATGAGCAATCCTTCCCCTCTTTTTGACTCTGTGATAGCCATGGGATCAAGCAAGGTAAATTCTGGGGCACACAAAGACCCAAAAAGCTGTCTTAGACTGGACTAGATCTTCCGTCTGTCATGCCCACCGTGCCACCCAACCCAGTGGACCCTGATCCCGAGGACTCTACACCTTCCTCCTCCAAGAAAGAGCTCCCTGCACCCCTGGACGTACGTTTTGCAGAGGATGAACACCGGCTGCCAGAAGGGTTCACACCTGGAGCCGCTCCTGCTGAGCGGAGCACCAGCTCCACACCCCTTGATTCCCCTCCACCCGTAGCTCATTTACGAGACCAAAGGAGAGCGGATTTGACAACCAGGCGTAGAGAAGCACGCATGCGTGGCATTTGAACAGTCTGGGAGGGGGAGAACAAGAGCACCTCAGCCCAATCCGGATCAGGCTCTGAAGCAGTTTAAATCTTTAAAAGGGTGGCAGTGTCCCCATGGCAGCCACAAGCATGCCGTTACGTCTAGTTCAGCCCTCAGACAGAGGTCTTTCACACGTCCTACTACTGGTTCTTTTTATCTGGAGATCCTGGGGATTGAACCTGGGACCTTCTGCATGCCAAACAGATGCTCTGCCACTGAGCTACGGCCTTTCTCTGTGCAGACAGCAGAGAACCACACCAATCGAATATGGGGAGAATTAAGCTTCTACTTAGTACGTGAAAAAATAAAACTTCACAAAGGGAGGAAATACTTAGCCCATAATGTCTATTTATAAGAACTGGACCAAGGGAACAGTAGCATAATCCCTTAAATGTATCCCTAACCCTTCACTTAGTTATAAGATGGAAAGAAAGACATAGTGATATCTTTGAGTTAAGAGAGTTTTCTTCCTTTTAACTTGTACCTATAGGGTGCGGGAAAACGTTTCTCCTCTTCGCCTTGAGACTTTTCCTTCCATCCTGTGAGCCACTAATGAATCTTGTCTTTCTTGATTCTCTGCCCTCAATATTTCACTTCTTTTTTAAACTAAACATTCAGCCTGATGAAGAGTTCTCTAGAGAGTTGCACATTGTTCTGTGATGCACACTATTCTGTTTTTTTCGGAACCTGTCTGTGGGCCAGCCCAAGTACTTGCAATAACAAGAAGAAGAAGAAGAAGAAGAAGAAGAAGTTCCCTAGAGAGTTGCAAGTTGTTTTGTGATGCACACTAGCTTGGTTTTTTTGAAATCTGATTGTGGGCCAGCCGAGGTACTTGCAACCTTGGACTAAATTTTGCAGACAAAAAGAAGGATGCCTCACTGGGAGGAGGATTAATCTCCAAACTAGACTTTGTTTATGAGGGCTGCAATACCCTTCATTCATTAGGTAATATTACCCGACTTGTCCTTCCTTCATTTTGGCTAGTGCCACACCTTAAATTGATCTCAAACTCTGTTTAACAGGAGGACCACCAAGTTCCATCTTACTGCATCTCATTTAACAGAAAGTCATATGGCAATCTGCCGCCTTTCACATCCACCAGGGACGAATATCATATGCTTTCTCTTCTGCTTTGTCCCAGAAACTCGAGGGCAATCTGAAATCTTCCTTGGTATCCAGCGACATCTAAACTCATCTAATTTGGTCTGCAGCAGAGCCAGCCTTCAATTCTAAGACTACAGTTGCAGAATTTTGGGCGTTGTCCTCATGCCTTGAAACAAGTTACTCCCCCTTTCTTTTTTGAGCGAAACACTCAGCCTGATGAACAGCTCAAGAGAACTCAAAAGTATTCATTCAAATGTGGCAGATGTTCACTTTGGATCAAGGTCAGGTCTAAAAAAGAGTAAGATTTTGAAGTCCTGACATGAATGTGAAGTCCTTGATTTGTGAAACAGAATGTTTGGTGATGTATTATTATTGTTGTCATCGTCGTAGTTATTGTTGTTGTTGTCATTGTCATCATTATTATCATCATAATTATTATTATATTATTAGATTTTTATACCACCCTCCTCACGAGGCGTGTAACAGTGTAATAGTATATAATATAGTGTAATAGTATATCTAGTGTTTTTCCTTTTTCGTTGGGGATAGAATTTAATTTCCTCTCCCCACATTAAAAAAAGAACTAAAAAGTACAATGCACACTGTTTTGTGATATTTTTGTCAGTCCTAATAAAAGTTCTTGTACAACTTTTCAGAATCTGTCTCCTTAAACTAAAGAATTCCATCCCCCTTATTCCGAAGGAATATTCTCTTTCTACCTGTTGTATTTTCAAGGGTGAATTCTAGTAAGACCGATTTCACACAAGAGCTGCACCACGGTCGCGCCTCCCTTTGCCCCGCTTCTATTGGTGAATTTCTCACTCGAAGCCACACGGCTGCATTTTGGCCCACGGCATCGCCCGATTTTCCCCACGGTTTCGTGATCCTCTTTTTTGACAGCTGCTTCCACCGGGGGGAGGGGAGCTGGAAAAGGAGCCCCCTTCATAGCAGCAGCGGAAAGGGGAATGGTATCCATGTACACCTGCTCCTGCACTGCTCCCTGTGGCCACTACATCCCCGCTCCTCCCCTCTCCACCTGCTGCCCCTGCACACAAAGCACAGACAACAACCGTGGCTGCGGCATGAAGCCCCCACCAGCAGCCCAGGAACCTGCACTCCCCCCCCCCTTCATTTCCATTTTCCTCAGCAGAGGAGGGTGGTGGTGGGGAACATACAGAAACAAGGTGGCCCACACCATTTTAAATGTACAGCGGCAACAAAGGGAGCATCCACACCCATTCCCATTTGAAGCAGAAAACAACCAGTTTGTTGAGCTCCTGATGGATAAAGCTAAAGGTTTCCCTTGTTCGAAAGCTAATCACATCCGACTCTCGGGGATGGTGCTCATCTCTGTTTCCAAGTCAAAGACTTTTTCCTCGGTCATGTGGCCAGCATGACTAAACGCTGAGACACACGGAACGCTGTTACCTTCCCACCGAAGCAGTACCTATTTATCTACTTGCAGTTTCTTGCTTTCGAACTGCTAGGCTGGCAGGAGCTGGGGCCAGAGACAGGAGCTCACTCCGTCACGCGGCACTCAGGTCTCAAACTGCCAAACTACCGACCTTCCAGTCTGCAGCTCAGCGTCTTAACCTCCGAGCCACTGCGGTCCTCCTGATGGATACTCACCAAATAATAGAAATCCATGTGGTCAGCCTCGGGGTCCAGTTCTTTCCGATCGATCATATAGTCCACCAGTACTTCCTGCTCCGTTCCACAGGGCAGCTCTTCCTCTATGTGCTGGATCTCGAGGAAGCTGTTACTCTCCGAGTAAAAGGGCTTCAGCCAGTTGAAGGCTTCCATGCGGGTCCTCATAACACTGGCCTCATCCCCTTGGGTTGCATTGTCAAGGAAATGTCTACCCTGAGGAACAAAAGTCACAGCAGGTGTAAGAATGCCTCAGTAGATCGAGGGCTGTTTTGGAATGCTGTGTAAAATCATTCTGCTGGGAAGCACTGGGAGCATCTCAGGTGGGAAAAGACATGGGAATCCGGCCCCCGGGAGGGGGGGCCGGGAATAAGCCTTTCCTGCACTTCTTACCCTTCGGGCTGCCATCCTCAGGTAGTGCAGGGCAGGGTATAAATCCAATATCTTCTTCTCTCCTCCTTGGTTGCGACATTGTGTGTGCATATATGTTTTTATTGGATTATTTTATATATTGGATTATATATATATATTGGGTTATACACACACACACACTTTAAATGTTATTTCAATGTTGAAATAAAGTTTGCTGCCTTGGGGGACCCTATTTGGGTAGAAAGACAGCATAAAAATGTTTTAAATTTGAAAAAATATGGTCATTTTAACTGGAGATGCCAGGGTTTGGACCTGTGACCTCCTGTGTGTAAAGCAGAGGTTCTACCACAGAGCCACAGCCCCTCCCAATCAAGCTGTTCTGATGGCACTGTAGGCCCAGGGCAACCACTCCCATGCATGGCAGAAGCCTTTCATAGCCTTTAAAAAGTGTTCTTTATCGCTGAACATCCTTAGCCTCTAGTGCTGATTTTCAGATTTCGTATCTGGCCCATTCTGCATCTAGCATTTGCCCCGCGGTCTTACCAAACCCAGGCTGGAACAGAAATTCCCCTCTGCGTTGCACGCCACTTTCACTTTGATGGATTGTTGGATTTTATGGCAGCGTCCGGACTGCGTGCCGGCTTCCACTTCATTCAATCTCTCGGTTTTATGGTAGCTGTCTGCATAGATTTATGGCCGTTTTATGGCCATTCAGAGGTGACACCGCAGTCAGTACTACGTTGGCACGGGGTATCTGAATGTGGTTTTGAGCTGCATCTTTTTTTGTTCTGTTGTGGGTTTGGTAAAACAGCGGAGCGCATGCTAGAAGTGGATTGGGCCTCTGTCTTGCAACCAATACACCAAGACATTTAACTCACCCGTATGGAAACCAGGGTGCCGTTCCAGTTCGTCGTGTCTAGGGAGAAGTGGACTTCCCCATTCTCATCTGTGACATACGGCAGGTGCGTATCTACATCATGGACCTCAACCGTGAGATAGACAGTCTCATTCTGAACAGGTGCCTCTTCGAGAGTACTCACACGCATCTGCAGGAATAAAAGGAGAATCAACACCTTCAAGTCCAAACGATTGGGGTGTTTGGTTAATATAGCAGAGTTTGCCCAGTCGTAGAAGCGTGATAGTGAGTGCAGTACATAAATCTCCCAAGACGTATATTGCAAAAAAGGCAAACTTACATTTATCCAGGTAGATCCAGTTCACATTTCACATTCAGGTTGCAGTCAAAAGGAAAGAAAGGAGCCTAATCTAAAGAGGACTTTCCGTATCACAAATGGCCAGCTAGTCCGGCATCATGCGTATGGGATTATGAGGGCATTGTCTCTACAGGAGAGACCTGCAGAGACATGTGTCTCCATGGAAGGCCATGTACAGAGTGTGAAAGGACAAAGGGGGAAAAGAGAGAGAGAGGAGGAGGTCAGAGGTCAGTTCCCAGGTCAAAACAAAGAGAAGCATCCCATTCAAGGAGATACACACACTTAGAGTGATATGGCATCCCCCAATGTCCCGCCATACTGAGTCACTCACTCCAACACAAACACCTTATAGACACCTTATGCTTTTCCATGCAATAAATATGCAACTGTTCATTGCCCGTACAGGGAGGCCAATCGCGTCTGCTTAGTGTAGGGCATCTACTTGTAGGAGCTTCACATTTCCAAGAACCCGAGTCACAATATTTGTTCCAGTTTAGATTGTAAGTGACCCTTCTAGAAAGCAGGACTGTGGCTCAGTGACAGAGCATCCGCTTGGCATGCAGAAGACCCAGACGAGATCAATCCTGCACCGAGCTCCGATCGAGACCCCGCCGCGTCCGCCGCTTTGTCTCGAAATCACCGCTTAAATGCATTGCGCCTCGCTCTGTCAGACTACAAACGCCATCCCGTTCACCTCGCCACGCTTCGCCTCGCCACACCTCGCCTCACTCCCGAGACCCTTGAGGCCACACGCCATCCTGTTCGCCTCGCCTCGCTCCTGAGACCCCTGAGGCCGCTCGCCGTTCCGCTTCGCATCCCGTGGCAAGCAAACATCCGAACAAACGAACATGTCTTCGCCGACCACCACCTCGTCCTCCTCGTCTTCGGCACCCTCTGCCGCCACCTCGACCTCCCATGAGGGCATCGTGCATTTCAACCTCTCTCATCCCGAGCAATGGGAAACGTGGGTAGTGATTCTCGAGAACTACCTGAAGTGCCTAATGATCACCGATCCAGAGATGAAGAAGGCACACCTCATCCGCTTCTGTGGGATGGACACCCTTCTCCTCTTGCAGGACCTGATCGCATCCCGTAAGGTAGAAGAAGAGAATTTCGCCGAACTCGTGAAGACCCTCACCAACCATCTCGCTCCGAAACCGACCAAATTCGCGGAGCGAGTGGACTTTTTCGCAAGGGTCCAGGGGCTGGAAGAGAGAGCCGCCGAGTTCCTGGCGGGCCTCCGACGAGCCGCCACGCGGTGTGCTTTTCCTAGCCTGGAAGACACACTGCTAAATCAATTTATCGTGGGCATCCGGGAGTCCAAGTTGCGCCGCCGCCTAGTCAGGCAGGACGACTTGACTCTGGACCAGGCCCTGAAGGACGCCGTGACCTACGAGAAAGGCTGCCATGACCGCGGAGGACACCGCACCCAAGCCACATCGGAGTCGGCCGACTCCGAGGAAGACAAGGTGCTACAGATCCGCCGTCAAACCGCGCCATCGCATCGCTCAAGGGGTACCCCGCCAGCGAGGACATCAGAGCCAACACCTCCCTGCGCCAGCTGCGGAGGGGTGCATGAACGCAGAGCCTGCCGTTTCAGGTATGCCGTCTGCCGTGCCTGCGACAAGCAAGGCCACATCGCCATGGTCTGCCGCGGCCGCCGACAGCATAACAAGAAGTCGACTCACCAGGCAGAGCCGATCCACACCGTGGACCTCCACTCCATCGACCTCCACGTCATTTCCCATCAGCCCCAGCCCCAGGTAGGTGAAGCGCTCCGGGACGGCCGGAACAAAGTCCATGTTTCGGTCTGCATAGAGGGGTCCCCCTGTAGCATGGAGCTAGATACCGGCTCCGAGTTTACTATAATCTCGGAGGAGACACGGCGTAGAGTGTGTCCCAAGGGGAGGCCCCCTCTGCGCAAGCCACAATTTAAATTACAGGACTTTAATAAGAATCCGGTGGCTGTGCGGGGCTGGGGCAAGTTCATGGTGGAGTTTCAGGACTTCAAGGGATATCTGGACATTCTAGTGGTGGGGGGCCGGCTTTCCAGCCTCCTAGGGATGTCCTGGTTTAAGCCGCTGGGCTTGACCATCGGGGAGCTACACCAGTTGCAGCGGGTCGATTTCATGGACGTGTGCAATGAGTTTCCACAGGTTTTTGATGGGTCCCTTGGCCGTTTCATGGGGCCGCCCATCTCCCTGGACTTGGACCCTGCGGTCCGCCCCATCCGGATCAAGGCCCGGCATCCACCCGTCGCGATGAGGCCAAAGATCGAGGCGGAACTGGACCGGTTGGTGGCACAAGGGGTGCTGGAACCGGTGGCGTCCGCCCGGTGGGAGACCCCGATCGTCACACCCGTTAAGCCAAACGGGGAGGTCAGGATCTGCGCGGACTATAAGTGCACCCTGAACAAGGCGCTGCAGGACCATGCGTACCCGGTACCGGTGGTCAGCCACGTGCTTGCAGCACTAGCAGGGGCCCGCATCTTTGGGAAGCTGGATTTGGCCCAGGCCTACCAGCAGTTGCCAGTGGACGCTGCCACAGCGGAAGCCCAAACCATTGCCACACATAAGGGGGCTTTCAGGGTCCACCGGCTCCAGTTCGGGGTTTCCGTGGCACCAGGGATCTTTCAATCTTTTATGGACTCTCTCCTTAAAGATATTCCAGGAGTGCAGCCCTTTTTAGATGATGTGTTGATTGCCGCCCCCGACGCCGCCTCCTTCGCAGACCGCCTCCAGACCGTGCTCCGACGCTTTGATCAAGCCGGGCTGCGGGTGAAGCGAGAAAAATGCCTCCTCGGGGTCCCCAAGGTGGAGTTTTTGGGGTTCGCGGTGGATGCCCAGGGCATCCACCCCAAGGCGGATAAGACTACGGCGATCACCAATGCCCCGGCTCCAACGTCTAAGACTGAACTGCAGGCCTCCTTAGGCCTCTTAAATTTTTATCATTCCTTTCTCCCTTTGAAAGCAGCTGTGGCAGAGCCACTCCATAGGCTTCTCGATAAGGGCACACCATGGGTCTGGGGGCCGGCTCAGGCGACAGCGTTCCGAGCAGTCAAGGAACTTCTCGTCTCCAACTTGGTGCTCGCCCATTTCAACGAAGCTCTACCGGTAGTCCTAGCCTGCGACGCCTCTCCGTACGAGGTCGGGGCGGTCCTGGGGCACAAACTGCCGGACGGCCGGGAGGTCCCTGTGGCCTACTACTCCCGGACCTTGTCGGCAGCCGAGCGCAACTATGCGCAAATCGATAAGGAGGCGCTTGCGATAGTGGCCAGGGTGAAAAAATTTCACCATTACCTCTACGGTCGGCCCTTCATGGTCTTAACAGACCACAAGCCACTCCTCGGGTTGCTCGCCCCGGACTTCCAAACCCCCCAGATGACCTCGCCGAGAGTGATCCGGTGATCCGTATTCCTGGCAGGCTATAACTACTCGCTCCTCCACCGGCCGGGGAAAGCGATGGGACACGCCGACGCGCTGAGCCGCCTGCCGCTGCCCACGACTGACCCGAACCCGACGCCAGCCCACCAGATTGCACTTCTGGAGACCCTGCCGGACCAGCCGGTCCACGTGAGAGAGGTGGCCCGTCGCACCGCCAAGGACCCGATCCTCTGCCTGGACTGGGTGAGAAGGGGGTGGCCGGTGGCCGCTGCGGGCCCAGACTTCACAGCCTACGCTTCTCGGAAGGATGAACTTTCCTCCCACAAAGGGTGTGTGATGTGGGGAGGCCGGGTGGTGATCCCCCCCTCTCCGAGATCGGGTGCTGGCGGCACTACACGAGGCTCACCCGGGCGTGGTGCGGATGAAGGCCCTGGCTCGGAGCTATGTGTGGTGGCCAGGCCTGGATCAGGACATTGAGGGACAGGTAAAACAATGCCAACCCTGCCAGGCGTCCCGGCTGGCACCTCCCCGAGCTCCTGCGAGGGCTTGGGAGTCCTCACATAAACCCTGGTCCCGGCTACATTTGGACTTCACGGGGCCGTTCCAGGGCCAAATCTTCTTAATCCTGGTCGACGCCTACAGCAAGTGGCTGGAGGTGGTGCCCGTGCCGTCAACCTCCTCCAAGGCGGCCATCAGAGCGATGTGGCACATTTTCAGTGCCCAAGGCATTCCGGATACCCTGGTGACGGACAACGGGACGGCTTTCACCTCGAGTGAATTCCAGGAGTTCACGAGGTATTACAGGATCCGACACGTCCAGTCAGCCCCGTTCCACCCGGCTACAAACGGCCAGGCAGAGCGCATGGTGCGCACCACCAAAGAAGCGCTTCGCAGGTTCGAAAGCAAGGACTGGGACTACAAGTTGGCAACGTTCCTGTTCGGGCAGCGGACGACCCCCCACACCGAGACCGGTCGCAGCCCAGCCGAGCTCCTGTTAGGGCGCCGCCTGACCTCCAGGCTGGACCGGCTACACCCGGACCGGGCCCCTGAGGAAGAACCAACAATGGAATCACCCCAAGCCGCAAGGGGCTTCTTCCCGGAAGACCCTGTCTACGCCAGGAACTACACGCAAGGGCCTCCCTGGATACCCGCACAAGTGGTACGAGTAAGAGGACCTCGGTCGTACGAGGTCTCCTGCGAGGACGGCCAATTACTCCACCGCCACATCGACCAGCTACGACGGAGGGTCCTCCCGGCCGACCCCGAGGACCTGGAGTTTCCGGAGCCAGATGAAGTAGGTTCCCCTACACCCGAGACACAGGCCCCAATGGCCGCGCCAGCCCAGCTAGCTCCAGAACCTCCTGTGCCGCCGCCACAGGCGGCACCACAACCCATCTCCCCGACAAGGACCCCGAGAGCACCCACGAACACCACACCAGAGCACCGCTGCTCCACGAGAACCAGGAAGGCCCCAACGTACCTCCAGGACTTTGTGCGTGGGTAGTCGGGACTATGGGGGGGAGGGGTGTAATGTACTCCGCCATGACCACGTGCACGACCGTTGGGCCATGCGGTCATCCAAAGTCCGGTAGCTTCGTTCCAGATAGAACAATAGACGAGCGGATCCTAGCCCGCACCTATCAGAGGGCCAGGTCCGCAGCCGAGAGCCTATGGGACTCTCGGCTACTGTAAATAGCCTATAGGGAAATAGGGTGTGTGTTTTGGGTGAAGGGTTCTGTGCATATATACCGGCCTGCGAGCCGGCTTAGGTTGTCTTTGTTCCATCTAATAAAAGTACTTGCTGAAATCACTCAACGCTCTCAGTACTTTTCAGTTTTATAGTCTCTCAGCTGACAACAGCAAGGTATGTGGTCTACCACCAACCTCCAATAGGGGGAGCTGATGTGGCCCTCTCTGGGTGCGTTCAGACGGGCCATTTAGTCCACTTTTGGCCTGCCTCAGAAACGGATTTTATCTGCGTGATCACACGGTCAACATCTGCCTCCCGTCCCCAGCTGTTGCTTTCCGGCTCAAAACAGCTTTAACCCGGAGTATTTTGATACCAGGTGCCCAAGTGGTGTTTTCCTGATTCTCTGGTTCGAGCTGCATTTTCCCCTGTGTGATCGCTCCTCCGGTATCGAGCCACTTCCAGTTTAAACCCCCGCCCTGCTCGAAAGCTGCCTGAGGTTTCCGCTTTTCGCCCGCCATTTTAAAAAAGCGTTGGCAGTGTGCACATAGGTGGAGATCCGCCACAGGGTTATGAAAAACAATGTTTAAATGGTGCCTAGTTTTAGCCTTTAGACGAGTTCAGGATTTCACGGAGGCCATTTTTTTGGTAAACGTTTAAAGGGAAGTGGTCCAGTGTTACAGTAGTCGGGTTGACGAGCACGAGCAAAAATTTTAGTTCCAGAGATGGCTGCCTGTGCGCATGCCCAAACTGAGAGAGAGAGAGAAAACAACACCAGCGGGGAGAGATGTTGCTGGGCAGTGATCCGGAACAAGGAGGTGAGTGTGATTGCGATTCTCCAGGTTAAAAAAAACACGCATGGGGCTGGAGCAGTTTAACCTGCTCCCAGCACACCGTCTGAACGCACCACATGAGTATTTCTCCTTTCACAGGAATGCAGACAGTGCTCGGTCTTGGTTGTCTGTACCTTGTGCTGGGTATCAGGGATAGGGGTGTAGCGAGACCTCAGAGGCACCACTGACATGGTGATGTCACTTCCCGTGTGTACTGGAAATGACATTGTCATGTTGCGCCATTGCCGTGGCGCTCTGGTATTTGGGCAAAAAGTATCATAAAATGGCTTCTGTCATAAAGTTTTTGCCCAAATACCAGAGCATCACCACAATATTGGCGACGTAATGATGTCAATTCCAATACATGCCAGAAGTGAAGTCGTGCGTTGCCAGCAACAGCAGCCTAGGCCTTCTTCTCCTGCTGGCCAGCGGATTTGCAGTGTGGGGGGGGCAACCCTAGATCAGAAACGTGGCATCCAGGTCGGAGCACAGAAGAGAATTTATTGGCAAAGAACCCAGTTAAAACGGTGCTACTGGACTCTTGCTCTTTTCTACTGCTGCAGACAGACTAACATGGTTACCCATCTTGATCTATCTCCATGGAGGTGCAGACTGAGGCGAGGAGTGCTTTTTTTTCAGTGGTACCTCATGGAGAAATGGCCCTCGCTTCTAGACCAGGTTATTCTAGCTGTGAAGAAGAAGAAGAAGAAGAAGAAGAAGAAGAAGAAGAAGAAGAAGAAGAAGAAGAAGAAGAAGAAGAAGAAGAAGAAGAAGAAGAAGAAGAAGAAGGAGCTGCAAGAGCTCTTTCGAGAACTGCTTGTGAGAGAACAGCCCTGAAAGGAACTTGTGACTGACCCAAGGTCACACCAGCAGCTGCATGTGGAGGAGTGGGGAATCAAACCCGGTTTTCCTGGATTAGAGTCTGCGCTCCCAACCACTACACCAAACTGGCTCTCGATAAATGCTACTGTGACCTTGAGACCTGACCACTGTAATACACTCTGCCTGGAGGCACTGGAACACAATTTGGAAACTTCAAATGCTGCAAAGCACAGCTGTTCTTCTGCTTACTGGAACAGGCAGCTTTGAGCCTCTCCCCCTATACTCCACCACCTCAGCTTTGCTCCTTTGAAACAGGGCCTTCTGCAGGTGCCATCCTGCAAATGGGCAAAATCAACAACTGTCTGTACAGGTGTATGTTCTATTCTGCTCACCCCCACCTTATAGAATGGCCTGCCTGAGCTGGTATTCTCTTGGCATTCCATAAACAATACAAAACTGACTGATTGAGAAAAGCATTTCTACAAAAGCTTTATTATAATGAAAGAGATTCAGGAAGACGAAGAAGAGGGTAGTGGTTAGAAGCAGCGGATCCTAATCAGGGAGAATCGGGTTTGATTCCCCACTCCTCCACATGCAGCCAGCTGGGTGACCTTGGGTCAGTCACAAGTTCTCTCAGAACTGTTCTCTCAAGAGCAGTCCTCAAAAGAGCTCTCTCAGCCCCACCTACCTCACAGGGTGTCTGTTGTGGGGAGGGGGAGGGGGAGGAATTTGTAAGCCACTCTAAGACTCCCTTAGGTAGTGACGGGCAGGGTATAAATCCAATCTCCTCCTCCTCCTCCTCCTCCTCCTCTTCTATAAAGGGAAAGAAACTGTCAACTATCCTACTGTGTACACAGTAAGTACTCTCTGTCGCTGTATGTATAATCCCATTATGCAATTTCTGCATCACTCAATATGCTAATACTTATGCTTTGTTACAGCTTTGTTAAAGTTTTTTACTTGATTATAATTTCTGCATCGTAATCCTACTATGTTGCCCTGACTTGGATGGCGCAGGCTAGCCCGATCTTGTCAGATCTCAGAAGCTACAAAACAATAGAAAGCACCGTGTATAAACATACAATAATATTTAATGAAAATATAAATTATATGCAATGTACTAAACAAGTATAATCACCTTGTAGGTATTTATAGAATTCATTCAAATTCATATACAAGCAGACAAGTACAAAATCAAAGTAACAAAAAATAAAGGAAACAGTCCAAATTCTCCTATCTAAATAGCGAGCACCTGTATACATGTAATCCAAGATAATATTTTTTTCAGAGCTTGATGCTAAAGAAGAGGCGATTCAACAGTCCCGCATCTGAAGGACAAGTAATCATTGCTGCCAGATAAGCGACTTCCTGGTTGTCAAGTAATTTCCAGCCTTCTTTCTCAAGAATAGCTCGATATAGTGTGTACATCATTCATTGAAACCAATCTCCATTCTCTTAATCCCATGGGAAAAGTGAGAACGTTTGGTTAAGATGGCACCTGAGTTTTAGCCACTGTGTGACACAGAGTGTTGGTCTGGATGGGCCACTGGCCTGATCCAACATGGCTTCTCTCAGGGGTCATTTTGCAGAAGAGGTGCAGGAGCTCATTAGCATAACTCATTTGCATATGCCACACCCCCTGACATCACCGGAAGTGTGTCAGAAGGCAACACCCACCGCTCAGGCTCCACTGGACTGTTTTGGATTGCTAGCTATTGGGGGGGGGGGACATGCAAATCTGTCCTCGCAGAGGAGTTAGAGCTTGTCTTAAAGGTGCCACTGGTCTTAAACTTGGTCTTAAAGGTGCCACTGGACTGTTTTGGACCGGGGGGCCGGGGGGAGCTCTGCAACTTACCTGGCTGCTTCTTGCTCTGACTGAGGGCTGCTGGGAGCAGGGGGTGGGGCTTGTTGCATGTGCCCGCCCCCTGGGCTCTTTACTGCCAGAGCTCCGCTCCTGCAGGAAATGACCCCTGGCTTCTCTTATGTTCTTATGTAATTTATATTTTCATTAAATATTATTGTATGTTTATACACGGTGCTTCCCATTGTGTTGTACTTATTCCATCGTGGTCCATGTTTTGTAGGTCTCAGAAGCTAAGCAGGGCCGGCCTTGGTTAGTGCTTGGATGGAGACCACCAAGGAAGTCCAGGGTCGCTACGCAGAGACAGGCAATGGCAAACCATGTCGGCTGTGACTTGATGGCACTTTGGGCCACCCAATCCTATTACACTGCTTATTGGATGTCCCCATTCTCCTGGCTGCACAGACTCCTACTGTCTAATCTGCCTTGAGTCACAACAAGGAAGGTGGTCTATAAATAACATTAAAGAAAGAAAGAAAAATATCTCCTCTTCTGAAGCAAGCATCCCAGCTTCCAATCTGTTTCCGGGCACAATTCAAAAGCTACCTGTGACCTTTCACAAAAATGACATTGCGTCAATGAGGAGACAGAGTTGGCCTCTGAGGATTATTTTTCCCCTAGCTTCCAAACCAAAAGTTTATTAAGGTCATAAGACCAGTCACAATAAATACAGATAAAAAGAATAAGTTAAAATGAATAAATACATAAAAGATATGGGGTATATGTGTAAAAGACACACTCATATATGTGTAAAAAACACACTCATTTCATTAATTTATTTCCCAGCAACTGACGTTTCCTTCGTCAAGCGATACCGCTTTTTGAGTGCTATCACAAAGAATTTTGCTACTGCATCTGATACAGTTATCTATCACCTAATAGATATACCTGAAGGGTTTCAGGACTAAAATCTATATAATATTGTAATGGTTTGAATCTGCAGAGTAATGGAATAATTAATTGTAGCCTTTCTTCTTGATAGAATTTGCAGTGCAAAAGTATATGTGTGACAGATTCAACCACTTTGTTTGAACAGGGACAGCAATGCTGCTGCTTTCCCAGCTTCAAAAACAAACATGTGATTTGGTTCAACGACTACGTTATATCAAGAAAAGAGGGGAGCAAAGGGTGGGGAGATCTGGGATGTTACCTTGCCGGTGTACGGAAAGCCCTGCTTATAGAACGGATTGAGGTTGATGAAGTTGATGGACATCTCCTTGCTGCCGAGAGACAACATGTGCATGACTGTGCCGGTCACTCCTGCACGGAGAAAGGAAATGTCGGCTCAGCACAGCCGCGTGAAGAGAATACAGCGAAAAGCACAGCCCCTTTCCTCTGAGAGCCTAGCAATGTAGTTCTTGAGGGAAATCCCAAGAGGCTTTGAGAACTCTTTTGAGGGGACTTTATCTGGGAATCAAACAAAATGTTTCGTGAAGATCGCTCATGTACAGGAGAGGCCAAAAGAGCCCATGGGAACCCTGCTCCTCCCCTTTAGCATCCATTGGACATGTCTTTTGCAGGCGAAGACACTACAGGACAATGTTAAAACATAGACCAAGGGCCACCAGCAATGTTCCCTCTAAGCTGTGGAGTCCAGTGAGCAAAAATTCTACTTTCTGAGCTATTGGCATTAAAGTTGTGAGCACGCAATTGTCAGGGTCCTTAGTCAGGTCACACAACACAGGGCTTCATAAGAAGATAACTGTTTATTGGTAGATCCAGTACTAGAGACATGAGTAGAGCTTGTGTCAGGAATGGCCTTCAATACAAGGGCTACTGACTTATACTAGAATCAAACATCCCCCCTGTAAGCATGAGCCAATGGATACATGTCACACATGCGGGCAGAGCAAGTAGGCAAAGCAAAAACCGTTAACTTTCCCAGCTGGGTAAAACTGCAGCTGGAGCATCTACAAGGTCAAGCATAAGATAGCAAACAGTTGGTGAGCCAGGGAGAGCTGAGACAGAAAACGGGAGGGCACCCCTCCACATTCCAGACCTATGACAGGGCTACCTGACAGTGATTTGGCTACTGCATAAGTTAGTTTACTCTGGAGCCATCCTTCCTGAGCTAAGATAAAAATGTGTGAGCCAGAGGCTAAAAAACTGTGAAATAGCTCACACGAACTCAGCGTAGAGGGAACACTGGCCAACAGTGTGCCCATTCCCCTTGCCAGCCCTCAGCAGGGCACATGCATAGGCTTGTCATTGCCCTGTGGCAGCTGGCAATCTCCTACCCCTGGCCCTCGATAACTTGAGGAGCAAGAGAAAAAATAAGTAGGGAAATGGCACTGATAGTGACATTCTAGGAATTTTCCCAGTCTCTATGATAAAGACCTCAGAGATTGGAGGGATTCCTAGAATGTCACCTGGAAGTGTTGTCATATTGTTTAACCCTCCACCCAGAACTGTTGTCACATCACCCATGCCGCCCAAGCAATTCCCTGCAGTCTATATGATCTTTACTACAGGGATCAGGGAAATTCCTACAGCATCACCTAGAAGTGACGTCACATCCATCCAAAACTCTATCCTCTCCAGGCACTACCCCCAAATCTCCCAGTCTTCGGCAGTACAGGGCTGGCAACCCTACGTGGACATAATACCAGGCCCACTATCAGCTGCTGATGTGTGCCTCCCATAAGATGATCCCAGAAGGACTGTAACTCCTCCCATGCAATGCCCCAGCATGCAAATCCTAATGCACTGAGCATGGTTTACAGGCATATACAGACCTGGGCAGAAGTGAAATTGCTGAGTTCCTCTTGGGGATGGGAAACACTTAGCTCGGGGGCGGGTTAACCATTAAGCAGACTAAGCATGTGCTTAGGGCGCCAGGGCCAAAGGGGGCGCCACATAGTTGGGAAAAGGGTGAATATTGGAACTTTTATACATTTAACTTGTGAAATATTAAAGTAGATGTTGCATTGCATTTTTGTAGAACTTTATGTAGCCCAAGCTTGGCTTAGTTTGGACAGTATATTGTGTTATCATATGAATAAATTTTTCTATTGCTGCAACCTGCATTGTATATCTGATCAGACAGGTCAACAACTAAAATGGACGGGGGGTCAGTGTGGAAAGGAGGGGGGGCACCAAGATTGGTCAGTGCTTAGGGCACCGGTAAGCCCAAATCTGCCCCTGACTTAGCTCCAGTGTTCCCTGTAAGCTGAGTGTGAGCTAGCTCACAGTTTCTTAGCCCCTGGCTCACACCTTTTTGTCTTAGCTCAGAAAGGGATGGCTCCAGAGCAAACTAATTTATGCAGTAGCCACATCACTCGCTCACAACTTTAATGCCAGTAGCTCACAAAGTAGAATTTTTGCTCACGAGACTCCACAGCTTAGAGGGACATTGCTCCCTACCAATGAATTGAAGCAACCAGAGCTGCAATGTTAGGAAAGTCTAGTAACAAATAAATATCCCAGCAACTGACGTTATGGTCATCATTTAGTAAAGTGCATAGTGTATCATGATTTCATCCTAGTCAGGTATAAATATTCGTTACATTCGATAAGTAATAACATTCAGTACATACAGATTGCTAACTACCAGACAATTTTGCATCAGTGTTTTAAAAGTCAAGCCCCAGTGGGAGTTTCTAGAATTATAAACCCACTTCTCCTTGCATGAAGTCTTCCAAAAAGGGGGACAGCCTTCTTAATAGTTGTATGGATGCTTTTTGTCGGTCCTACAAAAGACACTTTGTGCAGCTAACATTCATGGACAGAGTACTCCTGTCATTCTTAAAGCTGCACGGCTTAGAGGGAACATTGCTTAGCTCCCTACCAAGGAATGCCTGTGTGTGCCCACCACCACTAAGCAAGGTGAACTCAAGCCTTTCAGCTACCCCCGAGTGGGCTGCCTCCCGGGGCATCAGAGTAATCCTGAGCAACTTTGGGGTAAAATAGTAGTGTCTGCCTGGTCATATCCATCTGTTAGATCAGGGTCCCAAATCATTTTGAGCCTGTGGGCACTTTTGGAATGCGGACACAGCGTGGTGGACACAGGGGCAAAAAGACTGCCGTAAGATGCATAGCCAGCCACAAAATGGCTGATGCAGCTTACCTTCAGAGTCAGTGAAGATTCTCGCGCTGTGGTGTTTTTAATTTTAAAAAAAAATCTGCACAGCCAATCGAATCTCCAACAGCCCATCAGAAGTCTTGCTGAGGAACCCTGCCCCACCTGCTTTCTAAAGACACTTGGCAGACGCCAGGAAAGGTGTTGGCAGGCCCTATAGCCCCAGCAAGGGAACGCACTGGGGTCACCTGTGTTAGATCTTCCATAGGGATGGAATCCAGTGCCCGGCCATTCAGTGCTGTACCCAGAAAATAAGAAGAAGAGGAGGAGGAAAAGATTGGATTTATATCCCACCCTTCACTTGGAGTCTCAGAGCGGCTGACAAACTCCTTTCCCTTCCCCTCCCCACAACAGACAAGCTGTGAGGTAGGTGGTGCTGAGAGAGCTCTTTTGAGAACTGCTCATGAGAGAACAGCTCTGACAGGACTATGGCTTGTCCAAGGTCATCCAGCAGCTGCAAGTGGAGGAGTGGGGAATCAAACCCAGTTCTCCCAGATTAGAGTCCGTGTACTTAACCACTAAAAAAAAAATAAAGGAAGATATTACATGTGTTTTCTCACAAGGTGAATATTAAGCAGGGTTGTTTTTTTTAAAGGATAACAAGGTTGCGCTTAACTGTAACTGATGTTCATTGAGTGTCGTCTGTGCAGGCCCACATGGGGACTGCGCATGAGCAAGCCTCCTGTAGAGCTGTTTTTCTAGCTTCCACTAGGGGGTGCCAAACCCTCCCTCAGAGCCATT